CCCCATTAGAGCGGTGCCAGGTGGGGGCTCCTGAGTTGGGGGGCTGGGGACAGCACGGAGTCGTCTTCACTGGAACACTGGGGAGGGATGGGGGGGTCGGAGAAGGGGGAGCAGGGAGTGGGAGCAGGGGGGCAGCACAGGGTCGGGGAGAGGTGGGGGTGGGGAAGAGAAGGACAGTTAATGCAGGGCATCTCAGGGTCCCAGGAAAGTCATATGGGGCATATCAGGGTCCGGGGGTGGGGTTTAAGTCCTTGAGGGGTCATGTGGGGTGTATTGAGGGAGGGCCATTCAGGGAGTATGAATGTCCAGGGGGGGTTGTGTGGGGCTTTTTGGGGTCTTTGGGGGGGAATTGTGTATCAAGATCTTGGGGGGGCAGTGTTTCAGGAGCCTGGGGGTCATGCAGGGTGTATTGGGATCTGTGGGAGTTATTTTGGGGATCCCAGTGGGCCTTTTGGGGTCTTGTTTGGGGGTGGTTCCAGGGGGTCATGTGGGCAGAATGTGGTCCTGGGAGGTCGTGTGCGGCATCATGGGGTTGTCTGAGGTATAGGGGGGCCCTGAGGGCGTTTTGGTGTCCAAGAGGATTGTGTGTGGCATATAGGGATCAAAGGAGGTATTTTGTGGTCCCAGGGAGTGTATCTGGGTCCCAAGGGTGTTTTGGGGTTCCAGGGTGGGGCTGTGGCACGCCATACCTCAGGTAACCCCCCTATTCATCGTTTGGATATTGGGATGTTGCGAATAAAACAGGCCAGGTGAGGGATTGGGGAAAGGTCGTGATCTGCCGAGAGCCGCGGTTCTACCGTCGGTGCATGTGACGTCGTGTGGTTGGGAGCTGGGGAATCGCCCAGAAACCGGCTCCCCAGAGACACCAACAAGGGAGCAAATCGCCACCCGGGTGGGTGGCGAACAACCATCGCCAGCCACTGTCCAGCAAGGGAGCTACGATGCAACGACTCGTTTCACAAGGCCACAGCACGGGATTGCTCAGCCTGCCCTGGGGACTCAGCAAGGCCCCCGGACAGGCCTGGACTTGTGCTCCCCAAGGACAGGGACTGGCCATGTAAAATAGGGGACAGAGGCCACGTGGTTTCCCCTTTCTCCTCCCCAACCCCACACTGAAGCCCTGAGGAGCCTGGTCCCCGGGCTAACAGGGGAGCCTGCGTGGGAAAGTCTGTAACCAACCTGCAGGATCCAGTGGGGGAGAAACACGACTTAGTCCAGGTGTTGCCTAGTCTCTGGGTGGAGAATTTAGGCTGCGCACGTCTTTGATTGTCCCTTGGTAACGACGCTGACTTCTGCCTAGCGCTTAAAAGCCAGCGTCTGCCATCCAGAACCCTAGTCTAGCACTGAGCCTTCCCCGGGCGTTGGCCCGAAGGGTTTGGTGAATGTGCTCAGGTTACAAAGGCTGCTGCATGTCCACGTCCCATTGAGGACGTGGGGAACCAATTAATAACCGTACATTGCTCACGAAAGCCTTGGGGGCAGCCCAAGGCAAGGCTGAGCGCTGGGGGGATCTGGCTGGTGCCTTGCCCTGGGTGACTCGTTGGCTCCACATGCTGACGGCTGAGTGATCGCAGCGTCTGGAGGGGTTTGCTGCTGGTCACTAGCAAGGCATTGTGGGAGACGGCCCAGGCTGGAGAGAGATCGGGGGGCACAGCGGTCCCACAGTCCCAGGCTGCACCCCGGGGATCCTGTCACAGGAGTATTTGGGGGTCCCAGGGCATCGTGTGGGATGGATCAGTCCAGGAGGTCGTGTGAGGCCTATCAGAGTCTGGGGTGTCATGTGGGGCATTTTAGGGTCCCGGGGCATTTTGGGGTCCCAGTGGGATCACGTGGGGTGTATCCTGGGGTCCCAGGGAGTGTACTGTGGTCCCAGGGGGTCATGAGGGGCATTTTAGGGACCCGGGGGCATTTTGGGGTCCCAGTGGGCTCACGTGGGGTGTATCCTGGGGTCCCAGGGGGTCATGAGAGGCATTTTGGGATCCTGGGGGTGTATCAGAATTCCAGGGGCATATCAGAGTCCATGGGGTCCTTTGGATGTTTTGGGGTCCCATGGGATTGTGTGGGGCTTATTGAGGTCTTGAGGGGCATTTGGGAGCCCAGGGGTCATGCAGGATAAACTGGGGTCCCAGGGGTGAATCAGGGTCCCAGAGATTGTATGAGGCGTATCAGGGTGCCAGGGAATTTTTGGGGTCCCACGGCATATCAGGGTCCCAGGGGGATTGTGCAGGGCATATTGGGGTTCGGGGGGTATTTCAGGGTCCCAAGAGGCTGTGCAGGGCATTTTGCGATCCCAGGGGGAATGTATGCACCAAAATGGTGTACCGGGGGGGGTGTCACGCGGGCTGTGTTGTGTCTTGGGGAGTTGGGCGGGACATACCGGAGTCCTGGGGGGTCATGTGGGGTGAACTGGAGTCCCAGGGGGATGTATCAGGGTCCCAGGGGTGTATGGGGTTCACAGGGGCATATCAAGATCCTGGGGCTATACTGGGGTCCCGGGGGCATTTTGGGGTCCCAGGGGTGTTTCAGCATCCTGGGAGCATGTCCAGATTCTGGGGGGGTCCTGGGGATATATCAGGGGCCCGGAGGTGTATAGGGATCCTGGGGGCATTTTGGGATCCCAGAGGCTATTTGGGGTCCTGGGGATATATGGGGGGGTCCGGGGGCCCCGCCCCCCACACTCACGGCCGAAGTTGATGGCCACCGAGAGGATGATGATGACGACGCCCCCGAGCAGGGCCACCACGCTTAGTAGTTTGGCCACACGGCCCAGCCGCCGCGCCCCGTCCACGTCCCCCTGCTGCAGGCTGTTCCGGGACTGCAGGGAGAGACACGGGGTGAGATCGGGGGGGGCCCCGGAACCCCCCCCCACATCACCGCCCTGAGACCCCCTCCCACATGGCAGGGGCTATCTGTCCCGAGAGCTATTGGGGAACAGTGGGGGATGCGGGGGGTGGGGTGGGGTGGGGGTTTGGGGTACAGCAGGAGGGGTGTGTGGAGTATTTGGGGGGCTGGGGACTGCAGAGGGATTATAGGCCCAGGGGCTATAAGGGTGCAGTGGAGGGTTGTTTGGGGACATGCGGGGTTGGGGACACAGTATGGAATATTGAGGTGCAGTGGGGGGATGCTGGGGGCATGTTGGAGAGTTTTGGGGCATGCTGGATTTCTAGGGGACATGGGGGGCGAGGTGAGCATGGTGGGTTTCTGGGGGCACAGTGGGGAGCTCTGGGGGCGGTGGGGGCTCTGGCGGGCCCTGGGGGGAGTGCAGGCTCTGGGGGGGCTCGTTGGGGGCCCTGGGGGCTCGAGGGGGGCAGTGGGGGGTGGGGGTGGGCTCAGGGGGGGCTCTGGGGGGTGAGTGAGGGCTCGTGGGGTTGGTCCGTGGGGGGCAGGTGGGGGCACATGGGGGCAGTGGGGGGCTCTGGGCAGGCTCTGGGGGGTGATGTGGGCTCTTGGGGGCTCATGGGGCCAGTGGGGGTTCAGGGGGACAGGGGGTGGGGCGGGCTCTGGGGGGGGCTCATGGGGC